CCTGGTGGGTGGGGAGCTGCTGGCAAGCACACAAATGTTCCTTATATTATTCTACATCCTCTTATAGGTATTATTGTATTTGACCATTTATTTTCTTAAATCTACCCCCCTAATCAAAGTCCATCTCTTGCAGTAGGGACCTAATTTGAAAGACTCTTCACCTAATCTTCAATGTCACCTACAATTCACATGTGACCTTTATCTTATTCTCTTTAAAAAGCAAAATGGTAAAATATACACAACATAAAATTTACCACTCTAACCATTTTTAAGTGCACACTTCCAGCAGCATTAAGCACTTTCACACTGTGGTGCCACCATCACCACCATGATTTTTTTCATCTTCCCAAACTGAAGCTCCCTACCTACCCTGTCTTGTAGTCTGGATGTTTGTGGACCTGGCTTCTTCCCCACGCTCTAACAGAGGGATTGTGCCCTAGTCACGTTTCCACCTTTAACAATGCCTCGCGCACAGTGAGTGCTCCAGAACCACGGAACTGAAATGGAATATTCTTGAAATGGCAGCAAAGATGTGCCTTTTAGTTTTAGCAATAATAGCTAACAATAACAATTTACTGAGTTTACTCTGTGCCACATACCATGTTAAGCATCTTAAATACTTATCTCATTTAATCCACCCAACCACCCTATGAAGTAGGTTACTGTTATTATCCCCTTTGTTTTCAATGAGGAAACTGCAAATGGAAAGACTGAGTACTTGCCAAAGGTCACACTGCTGGTATCAAAAGCCAGTTCTGTACTATACCACCCCCAGTGCACTTCATCTGCTATTCCATTCAGCCTCCAAGAACCCTAAAAGGCAGGTCTGGTTACTACCCTCACGTTACGGTGAAAGCACAGAGAGTTTAAATACTGAAATAAAGTCACACAACTCTCAGTTGTGCTGCTTCCACAAAATCTTGATGCCTTCTTTAAAAAGAAAGATAAAATCAGATAAAATTGCATTTCAGAAAATATTCCAACACACATTAATTTTTCACTCAAGACACAATAGGTCCACGGAAGAGAAGACTTAAACATGAAAACCGAAGCCTTTGTATACACAACAATGATTGTAGAACGTGAACAGAAACAAACTCCAGCAGTAGACACTCAAAAGAGTTTCAAATCTTAGCTCCTAAAAACCAGTCCCACCAGCGTTCAGAGCTTGTTTCAGGAAGCAGTCCCTGGACTTGAAGCAAGGTTGGTACGTTTCAATGAGCCATTATGATTCATGCAGTGGCTTCGCAGCCCCACACAAATCACACCAGAACACGCCTTAAGGAAACAGCTTCTTCCAGACCAGACTCTTTACTTTCCACAAAGCAACCTGATTTTCAGACCCTCAAGAGTTTTTGTATGTGGGCATTTTCACTTGCCACGGGAACAAAGATCCTGAATGTGAACCCTTAGTGAATCACTAGTTAACACCAGCCAACCAGCATGTCCTCAGAAAGCACACTGGGAGAAATGACCCAAGAGGTCGGGTTTAGCTGCCTAATCCCCTAAGCGACAGTTCCTTTTAAGGGAGTGCCCTGCAAATCCAATGGGGTTAATATGGACAGAGGGAGAAGGGCGCATTCCACTGCCATGTAAAAATAACTTTAAATAAAAATAAAAACGTGTGCATAGGAAACATCAGCCCAGAGCAAAAGACAAGATCACGAAGGGTATACCACATTTAGGGAACTGCATATAGGTAGGAGGAACAGGAAAAGAAACACACAGGCAGGGAAAATGAGAATGCCTACAGCTCCGACGTGAGTTGAATATCTTGAGCTGGACTGAAGCTCAGATGCCACAATTAAAACAACCTAAGTGAAGCATAATGCACAGCTGTATTTAAACCTAACAGTGAATTCAGCCTTCAAAACCTAGCCACACTTTCCAGTCGCCACAAAATAGCCCCTCAGGCTTGAAGAAGCCTTACTCTACAATTTAAAACACTTCATTCTGCCAATTAAAAAAAAGTCTTTGGTTCAGAGTCAGAGATTCTATGCTGTGAAAGTCCTGTTCCATTTACTGTCTCATCCGAGTCCTACTGAGATACCTTATCATTTTGTCCACAGAAAGGTGAAACTGTTTCTTAAGCTAATGGCAAATTAAAATTTATTTCAAATTCTTAAACTAAGACCCTATTAACTGGTCAGGATGATCAATTTTTTTTAAGCAGGGTTTTTTTAAAGCTTTTTTTATTGTTTGTGGGGGAGGAGGTAATTAGGTTTGTTTATTTATTTATTTTTAGAGCAGGTACTGGGGATTGAACCCAGGACCTTCTGCATGCTAGGCATGCGCTCTACCAGTTGAGCTGTACCCTCCCCAGGATGATCAATATTCATGATTGTCAGTGATCTTTCTAAAAAGATAACTATAAATGATTTTGCAATTACTCTTCACTGACCACTAACTACATGCTGGGTTAAGGACTTAACATGCACTCTCTCACACACTCCCTCATCAACTCTATGACATAAGTATTTTCATATATCCTTCCCCAGCACAGACTCACATAGGTAAAATGACTTGCCTGCAGTCACCCAGCCTGGAATATATGATTCCAGAGCTCTAGCGTTCTTTAACTACCATATCCTAAATGTGCCATTTGGTCAAGAGTGGACAGTTCACGGAGTATTTTCTTCCACTGTGTCTCACGGCCTCCCCAAAATACATGAACAGCTGAGTGAAACTACCATGACCAAAATTTCGGTTGTTCACGTTACACCCGTCCCTTCAGAAAAGCACCACACGTGATCGGGCAACAGGATTTGCTAAGGGTGACTGACCGTGGCGAGGAGAGCTGCCCGGCTAAGGTATTCTGGCCTCCACGTTCAGTTTCCTCGTTTTAAAAGCATTACACCCTGAAGAACAAACTTTTCCTGAGTCATTTAACTTAACCATAAGGTCTAATCAAGAAGACACAGTCCTCAGTATTTATGGAGGGTGCTCTGGTATGAAGGTCACCTTTACTCAGAAAAAAAAAAATCCTGCCAGATTAATTTGCCTCTCCCTTTAAAAAATAATCTCCAGATTCTCAGGTAGAGGAAACAAGGGAAGCTGTCCCTAACAGCCAGAGTCGGCAGAATGACTTGACTCTTTCCACAATCTTCCCTCCACTAAAAGGCAATTTCTATTAATGTTCTACTAACACAACTACAGTACTCTGTTCGCATTGAAACTGGATAGTCACATACAGTAAAATAACTCGGAGGTGGTGTTACACATTAGAGAAATATACCTATCATTTTATTATTAAACTAGAAAGATGCCCGCTGGCAATCAACAAAAGGTCTCCCGGCAACTGAAAAGCAGAGACTAAGCAAAGATTTCCTTTCTTTGGAGACATGAAACTCTCATTCAGTCAAGAAAGATGGATTTTGTCACTTATTATTCTCTAAAATGGAAAGCGCCACATGGAGACCATAAATGGGGTAAATTGCATCTCAGAACAACGTTATATGTGCCAAGTTGCAAGGCCTGTGAATACAAGGGGTGGATTAATGGAAAGACTGATACCATCTTACTACAGTGGCCTCTCTGTAGCTCAGGACAATGGTCTGTTGAGGGTTTTCCAGTGATTCTGAATGTGCAACCTCCATACAAGCCCCCTTTTAAGGGGGCTGCCTTGGTGTGGAACAATCCCTCTTCTGAAAAAAAGCCAAGAGCACCCCCACAGGCTTCTGGGTGAGAAGCTCAGCCCTGTAGGCGTGGGAAGGCGCAGACTTCAGAGACAAAGGAGTAGGAGTGCTAGATGGGCTGGGGAGAGCTGGATCAGCCTGGGTCCACCTCCCTGGAGAAGACCCAGACTCACAGGACTGACTTTCAGGTTGGGAGAAAGAAGAGAAGGAAGCACACGCTGCAAACGCAAGAGTGAAGTCAGTTACCCCTGAGAACAAATCATGCCACAAGGGATGGATGACATATACAGAAACAGCTGTGGGCACATGCCTTCCAGGCACTGGGCAGGCCCTCACTATCAAGGAGGTGGGGGTCGGCTGTCAGCCCCCAACCACTAGTTTATCTTCTCCGAAAAAAACAGCTAAGGGAATCCTGCTTGGCCTCAGCAGGTGAGGACACTGTGGGGCAAAGCCACCATACTAGAATTACCACATTTCCTTCTTCCCTGGAGGGAAGAAACTCTCAGGAGAAGGGGGATCCTGCTGCCTTAGGCCCACTCATAAGACAGCGGAGAAGAGCCCCCGAGATGACGCTGTTAAGGCCACTTTCAAATGGAGTCAGAGCCTGGATGACCCCTCTGACACTCAGGATTCCTCAGATACACGGATCCCTCAAATCTTAACTTAGGTAGTCCCTGGCCTCGTGTCTCCCAACCTCGGCGACCCCTGCCCAACCCTAAAGCCCACCTCAGAACTACCTCCCAGACTCAACTAGTCACGCTGCTCCCTCAAACCCATCTTGGAACCCCCAATCCTCTCCTAAGATTCATATCCAGCTAGTCCACTCAGCCTCTCAAAACCTATTCTCAGACCCCAATAACTGCCTCAGTCCCCCTGTACCTCTTAACCTTCCCTTCAAGCCCCCCACCCCTGCCCAGAAATAGCCCTCGGCCCCCTCAATTCGGTCTCAGGCACCCTTAGTCCTCAACTACTGACCCCTGTAACTTCTCCAACCCAGTCTCCACCCCTCAATTCCCTCCTCGCCCCACCAGACTCAGCCACAGCCCTATACGTCCCCCAGTGCCCACTCCAGGCTCCCCAATTCCCGCTCCACTCGCCGCCTCGGTCCTCGGCCTCAGGACCTCATCAGCCCCCGCAAGCCCCGTCCCAGGACGCTTTTCCCAGCTTCGCCCCAGCCTCGGTCGCCTCATCCCTGACCCCGTCTCAAGCCCATTTCTCGTCCCAAACCCCTCAAACCAACTTGAGGCACCGCGACCGCCTCCGCGCCCGGCCCCCTGCCGCCCGCCGCGGGCCCCCGGCTCCGCGCGCCCCTCTCAAGGCCCCGCCGCCCCCGCCGCCCCCGCCTCGGGCCTCCGCTCGGCTCACCTCCTCCATCTTCTGCACCATCTCCGTCAGCTGCCCCTCGTCCTCCAGCAGCTCGTTGAGCTGCACCAGCGACAGCCCGGCAAACCGGGCTTCGCTCCCGGCGCCCGCCATCCCAGCGTCTCGGCCGCCGCCGCCGCCGCCGCCGCTCTGGCCACCAGGCTCCGCCGACCGGAAGCACCGCCCTCAAGGCCCGCCCCCCGCGGGGGGGCACGTGACGCCAGCCCTGGGTCGTGACGTCATCACAGTGCGGGCGGGCGGACGTGACGTAGTCGGCTGGGCACATGCCGGGACGAGTGTTGGGGGTGGAGGGATGTCTCTGGAAGGATGGGGGCTTCTAAGGGAAGGGAAAGGGACTTGGGGATGGGCTTGTGACGCAGCGAGCGGCGGTGATGATGTCACTGCGGCACAGAAAAGTGCGTCATGATGCCATAAAATTCTTTTTCTTCAAGAAAAAGCAATCCCGAGATCCAAAGAAAGCAGGCAGTGGGAAGGAAGTTCCTGCAGCCGAAGCCCAGCCTGACGAAGGTGGCTTCACGGGGAAACAAGTTTAGATGCCTTTGGTTCCTTGGAATTGTGGAGCTGCCAAGTCACTCATTTGACATTGATTTGTTGAGACCTACTATGCAGACTAGGAATTGGGTATACAGTTCTGAATAAAATAAAAAGGACTCTGGCTTACACGGAGCTAACAGGCTAATAGGGGAAGCAAATAAACAATTAAAAATTGTTACAAACTGGGAGCGTGCAAAGAAGGATGTGAATGCTGAAGTAAGAGAATAACTCTCTTTAGAGAGAGTAGTAAAATGGCCCTCTCAGAGAAGATGACATTTAAGGAGATCTGAAGAATTAAAAGGGTGGGGAGGGTATAGTGGTGGAACGCATGCTTAGCGTGCGCAGGGTCCTGAATTCAATCCCCAGTATCTCCATTAAAAAATAAAAATAAATGAACCTAATTACCGCCCCCCAAAAAAGAATGAGAATGGCCAGCATTCCTGTAGAAAACCCAAGGCAGCAAGATCAGCATTTGCAAAGTCCCTGAGTCGTGTGGTCATTTGGTTCATTCAGGGAATGGCAGAAAAACCAGTATGGGTGGAGCATCATAAGCAAGAACCCACGAGAGTGGCCCCTTTGCACCCACTCAGAGGACGGTGCCTAGATACCTAGGTGGACCAAGCTGTGCAGGTTCAGAAATGACACAATTTAGGGTGCCACAGCTCCATCTCCCCATCCATCTCGAAGCTTCTCAAGATCCAGGAGTCTGGAAACTCATTATCCTGCTTTGGAATCTGCCACAACTCTAGTTGAAAGAAATCAAAATCTGAGGTTAACCACTACAGCCTCCTAATTTTACACACAGAGAAACTGAGGCCCTAAGAAGAGGAAGTTTTTGTTTTTTTCCGAAATCAAGTAATTGGCAGGTCTGCAGGCTCCCAGTCTGGCAACTGCCATGCTGGCATCCTACCACACTGACCTCGTCACATAACTCAGCACTGAACACAGCTGAGGCATTCAGGAAACGCTTATTGGCTGACTGATGAGCTTTGTGCATGGAGATTACGTTGCTGCTCCCCCATCTGTAGAACATAAGGTCTGAGTTGTCTGCCCATACATTAGGCTGGGCTCCACCGACCCATTCTCTCTCTCCTCCTGGCCTGTGTGACTAAGAGCACACTTTTACAGAAAATGAGGAAAGTTAAAGGAAGTATTTTGTATTATCTGTAAATAAAAGGTTTTATTGAGTTCAAAAAAGGGCACTCAATAATTTTCTTCCTTTGAGCTTGTTAAACTTGGTCCAAAAAGGTGGCTTTGAGGAAGAGAGGCCACAATAAAGAGGAAGGGGATGTAGAAAGTCAAGTTTACGGCCAGGGTACTTGCTCAGTTTTTTTGTTTTTTGTAATTTTTTTTTTCTCCAGGAAAAGAACAGACCTGCGAAGTTTAAAATAGCAGCGACATTTCCAGGAAATCCTCACCTATGAGGCTTAAGGTGTTGTCCAGATATTTCTCACAGCCCTCGCAGAAGGTAAAAATATGGTTAGGGGTCAGAGCATTCCAGAATAGAGAGGGGTGAAATGACTCATCCAAAGACACACCAGGAACAAGCCGGGTTCTGGCCCACCTGTGCACAGTGGCCGCTGGAACCCTCAGTTGAAACAAGGTTCACAGCTCAGCCTTGCCCAGGGCTTTTATAACCCTTCTCAAAACTACTTTCTGCCACCGACCCATTCGAGTCACATACCACTTCCTTTGTCAAACAGGGCAAACCACAGAAATCTCTTGTTTTCTGCTGCTCTAAAGACGTCTCGTCGCTCTTAAAAGTGGTTGAGAGAAGAAACATCAGAAAATCCTTGCACTTGTGTCAGACGTGTCGATTTTAATGCGTGGGTGGACTTGTACATTTTTCCCCTTCTCTGTTAACTGATGTTGAGGTTTATCTGAGCACCTACGTCTGCCTGTAGTATTTGTGGGTTAACTAAGATTTTTCTCTGGCAAATCAAGGGCAATGTACGTTGTGCCAGAGCCTCTGTCTCAATGAGAGCATTGTTACCGTCTGAGAAATGAATCTTCTGTTACACAACATGGGGGATTGTTTGGAAAGCATACTACAAAAAAAAAAAAAGCATAACCTTCACATAGTTAACTCAAGATCTTCGAGCCTTGAGACTAGAGTTCTTTCTCTCTGATGGAAGTTATTAGAATTATTCATAAATGTTTTCCAGTTTGAGGAGCTGGGAGAAAAGGTGTTGGCCTGATGACAATGTGTCTGTAATTTATGCTTGGGCAGGAGAAGAATTATTCCCCAAGGCGGCAGGTGGAACAGCCAGGCCCCTCTCAGGATGCTCAGCCTGATGTCACCGCCATTGTCATTGTCATCTGCTAATACCTAAATGCCCAGCATGACCTAAACACTAGTCACCAAGAGGGAAAAAAAATCATTTTAGACATGGTTGGTCCCTACTTGGGAGAGTGAAGGAAGATACACAAATATAGAGCAGCATTTTAAAAATTGTATTCATGGTTGATGTTATTTTGGTGTGCTATAAATGTGGAAGATGCGGAACGGTTGGTTATTTTGATTTGAGGTTTGCCCTTTTTTTGCTTTTTGGATTTTTTGCTTTTATTTTTTGCTTCCATGTGAGAGTTCTCTTAATCAACCATTTCCATCATACAAAAAAAA